CGGGATCAAACCCTATTACATTACTAAGTTGATTAAGTTTTGAAAATTTTATTGTTTTGAGACCAAACCTTAAATTACAGAGGTTTTTCAGTTCGGCAAGCCACATGGTGCGGCACGGTTACTTGTATTTTAGAGTTACTTGTATTTTAGGGTTACTTGTAGGGTGTTACTTGTATTATGAGGTTTCTTGTATGGGTTAATTGTATCGTGGGATAATCAAAACCAATAACACCCTACAAGTAACCCCTGATCAAAACCGATAACAGCCATACAAGTAACCCTAGAATACAAGTAACACCTGACAAAACTAGTAATACCCTACAAGTGACCCCGACCAAAACCAGTAACACCCATACAAGTAACCCTAAAATACAAGTAACACCTACAAGTAAGCCCTGACAAAACCAGTAACACCCTATAAGTAACCCCAACCAAAACCAGTAACACTCATACAACTATACAAGTAACCCCAGAATACAAGTAACACCTATAAGTAACCACTGACAAAACCAGTAACACCCTATAAGTAACCCTTGCCACACCATGTGGCCAGCCACATACAAAAATTTGTAAATTAACAATATTACGTACTATTATTATTAATATTAAATAAATAAATAAATGTGTATTTTTTTCAAATCTAATTGAATGATATAAGTGATATATTTCATCTAATCAAAACTCTCTCCTCTCTCCTCCATCCTCTCTCTAAAACCCTAGCCTCCATCATTTTTGAAGGGGCTTCCATTGGTTTAATTATAACCAGTGGAAAGCCCCAATCCTTGTTTCTTTTAATTTTTTTTTTAGGTTTATAATAATGCTTCCACCTTTTGGGAGGAATTTTCTCCCTCGAAAAAAAGAGTTTCCGATCTCCTTCGAAAGACAAGGGTTTTTTGACCTCCTTCGAAAGACAAGGCTTATCTCCTCTTTTCCATGGGGAAATTTAATTTCTTAGTTTTGAATCCATGATATTAGATCTAATAGATTGTCGTGAAATTATTTCGTTGGTGAAAAAATTATCAAGTTTTCAAATACAAACAGATGAATCAAAAGGAAAACATCCCCACGACTACAAAGGATCATTAGATTGTCTTTCCAACAAGGTTGTATTTTCCAGCGATATAAGCGGGAGATGTTCCACAGTGCAAGATCTACTTGACGATTGTAGTTTTTATGAAGGAAAATTTTATTTGATTCAACATCTTATGTATTTGTTAACGTCGAATCTATATTGTAAATATCGTATGACTTTTAATTAATGAAATATTTTTGCTATTCTAAAAAATAAGAAATCTAATTGAATGATATGAAGTATTCTTGACTATGGGCCCTTGATCGGGCTAGACAAATTTTAACAGGCTAGGACATGAAAAAGAAGGTCTTCTTTCATGATTCCAATATATAATATACTTAATTGAAGATGATGTCAAAGGAGATAAAGTGTTAAATTAACTTATGGAATGACAAAGTGGTAACACGAGGAAACGAGATAGATGGAGGAATTGAATTTTATCCTGGCCTCGTTGGTAATGGGTACTCGCCTTCACCCTAAGATAACTTTACGTTAAAATAATGAGGATATAGCAATCCCCATTTCTTCACCCATCACCACAATATCACTACGTAATCACCCTAACAATTACACCAATACTATCGAGATAACATTATAATTCTCTATTTTAGATTGATCTCTTGCCTTGTTAACTTTGATATATTTATAGTATTTCTTTCGTTCATTAATAATCGCAACAATTACCATTTTTTTTAATGATATAATACATAAATGCTATCATTGTTGCTTTAATTTATTTATTTTTCTAAAATATTAATTTTTTAATAAAAAGTCATATGATATCTACAAAAGATATTTGAAAATTCATAACATAATGAATCAAATAAAGTTTTATTTCTTAAAAACTACAACCATCAAGTAGATCTTTCATTGTGGAATCTTTTCCCCTTATATCGCTGGTGTTAGTAAGACAATCTAACAACTCCTTTATAGTTGTCAAGAATGTTTTTCATCTAATTAATTGATTAATTTTTTCATCAACAAAGTAATTTCACAGCAATCCATTAATTAGGTAAGGATTTTAAAGTAAAAGAAGTCTCCCTTGGCTTGTTAGAGTCGATCAAGTTGGGACAAATAAAGCCTATATTTTTAAGGAGATTGAAAACCTTACCTTTTGAAGAAGATGGGAAAAAAACAATCTTGTCTTTCAAAAGAGATATAAACTCTATTTTTCGTGGAAGTGTTGATTTAATTTAACTATATATTTGAAACATCAATTTTTATAAATTTGTATTAATAGGATATTATCTAGAGATATATACAATTTTGACAAATGTGATATATCCATTTCAATTATGTGAACCAGTTATACAACCTTTTGGGATGGGTCCTAATAACTCATATGAATCACATAAGTTTGATCAACATGGTGACAAATGATAATAATGTGATTGTAAATGTCATTTTCTTACTACGTGTATGTTTTTATTTTATTTTTTAAAAAAAGTTATTTATTATATATTTTCATTTACAGTGATTGTATCCTAATGTAGGATTTGTTTGTTCACTTATTTTGTTTTAATTTATGTTATGCAAACTTATCTAAACTTATAATATTTTGTCTAAACTCCTTTGAATTTATATTTCTCGAATTTATATTATTTTGTTAAACCATATTTTATATGAACCAATTTGAAAATATTTGAAATTGTATCTAAAGTTCTTTGAAAAAACCATATTATATTTGAACTTATATAGGTATAACTTATTCTATATAATTAAGCCAGATAAGAAAAAACAAGCAAACCCTTAATTTTTACATTCTCCTCTTACATTACAAATTTTAATGCTAATTTTCTCTTGCATCAATTACAATTTATTAAATTATTATCACTTTTTATTTTCTAACATCAACCCTTTAATAATTTAAAGAGTAATATTTTTATATGGCTTTTCACTTTTATAAGTTAGAGTCCTACTCCCTTTTTTCAAGAATGCAATGTTATTGACAAAATCTATATATCATGCAATATCTGTTGACCCGTCCTTAATCAATGTTTTAAATATATTTTGTCTTTGAATACTTTTAGGGTAACTTTAACCCCTACTCGTCTTACAACAGGTTTATAAAAGTCTGCATTAATCAAGAATTTGTATCAATGTTTTATTCCCTTCAATCCGTTGGAAGACAATAGTTTACCAACACTACGTAATATGAAAACGCAAATACTAAATACAACTAGGTCTATTTTATAGAAACGAATGCACAATGCTTATTATTTTGCACAAAAAAAAAAGAAAAAAAAAAGAAAAAAAGAGTGTAAAAGACCATGCTATGATTAAACTTTCTCCATTGTAGGCTAAATGCAACATGTTGATTACCAACTTGTTAATGCACAACTTTGAATATTACGGAGTAATAACTTTAATTATATACCAATTAATTAATTATGTCATGAAAAGTTGAGATCGATGTATTACATGTGTTTTTATACTAAAAAAATTCGGTCAAAAGATGATAAATAGTGAAAAAATAACATGTTGTATCAAATGATTTATAAATAAGTAAAAATTATAAAAAAAAGTTGATAATATGTAAATATTAATCAAGACGTTTCTAAAATTCTAACAAATTTTACAAGATCATACTCGAATGTGTGTTATCATATTCATCATCTTAACGAGCCGTCTAAACATGGGCGGATCTAGGGGGGTTCATTGAACCCCCAGATTTTTTGAAAAAAAAAATAAAAGTTTTGATTTTTTTTTTTTGTGAAGTAAATAATCAAATATATAAGTTTGGCACATTGGTAAGGGAGTGACTAGTAGGGTAGTGAGGCTCCTCTTAGATCATGGGTTTGAGACTAGTTGCCCTCATTTATTTATTTATTTTATTTTTTTTCCTTTTGATTTCTTTCGTTGTTCTTCCTGAGTTTGTCCATGTTGGGTCAGTAATTTTAGGAGTAGTATGTTGGTCCTTTTGTTAAGTTAGAGAGTCAAATGAATTTAAAAGTTAATGAGTTTATTTAGTGGGTTTAATGATGGCATTATACTTCCAGTTTTTTAGCTTATCATTTGTTGTTTGTTAGCCTACATATATGGTTCTTGTATTTGGTGAATTAAGCATGAAAAAGATATTATTGAGTTCCTTATTTTACTTGCTTTATACTTATCTAATATTATTATTATTTTTATCCTTTAGTACGTATTAGTTTCAACAGTCCTCTTATTCCTCTACTCCTCTTAATTCTTAAATCTTTATTTAATTATAAATTAGTAATAATTAGATTAATTACTGATTTGTTTAATTAGCTTTGATATATTGTTGAATACTCGAATTGCTGACAAATTGAATTTTAGAAACTTAGAATTTAAAATTTTTACTTGGTCTTTTAATTGATAATTAGAAAAAAATTCCATTGTCAAATTTGTGTTTATTAGGTACTTAGGATTTTTGTTTTATGTGTAATATTGGTTTTTTGCAATAGAATTATAAATTTATAATTTATAGAAGTACTAATGTATTAGCACGCCTTCAAAGTATAAAACTCGAAAAATGCTTTTGTAGGTTTTTTTTTTTAATTTTTATTTTGTAACTGTTTAATCCATCCATTTGCAATAAAAAATTTGAACTTATGTATTGAATATTTAATTAATATATGAGTATCGTTTGTTTTTTAAGATTCCGAACCCACAGTTCGGAATTCCTGGATACGCCACTGCGTCTAAATGCTTCTTCCGTTTCTTTTTAATTGCATTATTTTCCTAAAACGAAAATTTCAGATTAGTTGCATCACTTTCCTTTTAACTCCATAGTTAATAAAATTTCTTTATATCTCTCCTATCACATTGATACATTTTTTTTTCATTCTCTTTATCTCTCATCTTTAAAAAGTGTCTAAAGCGTTGCCAATTTGCAAAATAATATAACGTGTGATGGTTATAGATGTGTAATAATGACAAACATGCTAGTAGATGCAATATCATAATTCCGAGTGTATTTTTTGAGTCCTTGTGCACTCGTGTCTATGATCAATGATTTCGTGTTAATTGTGTACATTAGATGCATAATAAAAGAAGAAAGGCAGATACTTTCTTCCCTATTCTAAAGTTCTAAACCCAGAAAGAGTGGAACTTTGAAGCAAGATCTGCGCACAAGCCTTTTGCCAACAACATTCCCAGCAACAATCGTAAACTCCGCATTCCTCGAAGGCAGCTGATTCAACTAATTAACTCCCAATTAAGACAACACTATATCTCTGTTAGTACTTTACTCTCTATTGCTTTTCTTTTGTTTTATTTTATTAATTTTCTTCCCAAAATATCTTTTAAGTTTATGATATTTGTCTAATTATTAATGGGGGTGCATTGAATAAGTTTATAATTGATGGGGTTTACTTTAAATTGTTTTTATATTGGCGCATTAGTTGTTTTATTACTGGATTAATTGGTGCAATTGTTGGGTTGATCAAAATAATGGGTTTGAACTTTGAATATGTTTAGGGATTAGGGCTTGCATTTTTCTCATTATTTGGTTTTTAATATTGGTAATTAGCTGTGTTGTTCAGCTGATTTGTTTATTTGATCATTGAGTGGTTTGCTTCAATTGTGTGAAGTTTGTGTTAATGGTTAATTGTTGACATAATGGGTTTGAACTTTGATTATGTTTAGGAATTAGGGCTTGCATTTTTGTCATCATTTGGTTTTGATTATTGGTAATTAGCTGTGTTGTTCAGCTGATTTTGTTATTTGGTCATGGAGTTGATTTATTCCATTGTCGGATGAATATGTTTATGGTTAATTGTTGATATAATTGATTGATGGCCAATTTTATGTTTGAGTCGATTGATCATTATCGAAGTTATGTACAAGTATATATTATCCGATTTTTTAGTGTAAATGAAGATAGGGAGAGCTATAAACACTTTCTTGGTTATTCAAACATTGGATATTTGGATGATAACTTATCAACTCTTCGTTGAATTTTCAAGGCCCCATTTTTATAATTAGACGGCCGTGTGTGCAAGAGTAGTTGACCTATAATTATTTGAACACAAGGTTATGAATCACAGACAACATTATTGAAGTTGCAGCCCTTGCAGGTCTATCAAGTTACAATTTTATATTCAACAAATGGGTTCTTCATTAAAAGGCCCATAATTTTTTATTTCGCAAAGCATTCAAGTGTTTGCAGAGGAAAATCATTGTTAATAGTATCAAAGATTGTTGTAAAAGCAGAGCTGTACCCAAATGCGTTATGATGATATTTTGAGGGTTTGGTAGTGTGATATGAAAGGGTTAGTATTAAAGGTTGTGGTGTCACATTTGATCACTCGCACTAGGGTTTTTAATCAAAAGCTGTGTACTCAGATAGCTAGAGTAACAAGCACATCTGCTTGATGAATCAGAAGAGGAACATGCTAATTTACCTGTGAAATGAGATGATGCTATTGCCTTGGTCTGGGTCTCAGGAACAGGACTGAAAGTGGAGCCAAATATAGAGTTTTGCTAGGAATGCCAAGAGTTAATTGCTTTGATTTGAATGTTTATGAGCTAGGATACTGATCTTTTATGACTATCTGTGGGTGGGCAGTGTTTGGGGGTCATTACACAGACTGTAACTGAAGATTTTCTATTTTCTTTTTAGGAACAGCTTTTGTTGTAAGGATGTGCACATTCTATGACCCATACCTTATATAGGAGATACACTTGGTAATCATTGTTTTTTATTTGTGAAGTGTCTGTAGTTTCTTTGCTGGGATTTGAGCAATAATTGGGAATTCTTTTTATCTTATAAGAAAATAGAGTGTGAGTGTTGCTGTAAAAAAGGTTGACTATGAGGTTCTTGGAGTACTATTTGACTTCAGAATCTAGAGCACTACATGAGTGCTGTTGATTCTTCCGATCTTTGCTGGATGAAACAAAAGGTCTTCGACTCTTCATTATACATTGGTGTAGTTTCGTAAAGTTTTTGGGGTTAGACTAGAGAACCTGTTCCCATTATTTTTTGGATAACTCCCCGAAATCTAACTAGCCCGTGTAGAATTCATTAGGTTAGAACTCATGGCAATACTCCTTGATTCCAAATTTTCCCATGTCTATCCTAGAAAAAGCAATTTTTGCTGAAATATCTCTTGACCGACTTTTGATTATATATAAGCCTTTCTCAAGTACCTTATATCAAAGATCTTGATCATTTGTGAGATTTTGCCTTCATTCTTAGATCATTATATCAATCCAGGTTGGGATTAGGGAAGATGATATTAAGGCAATTGGAGCACATAATGTTGTCACAGACTTTTACTGCCATTACCAGGAGTTCCACTCTTCAGAGCATGAGGTGTTCCTCCATCACCCCGCTCTTCACATCATCAAGAAGGCTTCGAACTTTCTCCACCATGATTACTAGATCCTGCAAGAAGGCGGGTTTCAGGCTTTTCTTCTCTGTCTGTCAAGTTTTCAGCACATGTATCTTTTCAATCTTTTGTGACAGTAAAACTGTATTTGAATCATGAAGATATTTTGCAACCCCTAATCATTAGCACATTTAACATGCAGATGGAATCAGAGTCTTTTGTGTTTGGGCCTTACAAAATAGATCCAAAAGAAGTATTTTACTCTACTACTCTCTCTTATGCCATGGTGAATTTGCGCCCTCTTCTTCCTGGTAAACCTTTTCACTTTGTTTAATCTGTTTAATATAATTCAGCATCAGTTACCTGTTATATTGGTTGTTTTTTTTTTTTTTTTTTTTGATGTTTTATACTTTTTTTTACTCATTTAGACAGATACATGATTGATTCTTCCCTGGGTGTCCAAACATGCATTGTAATTATGGAATCAATTGACTGCTCAGTTCTTAGTTTTTACATGTCATGCATATAAAGGAAAACTTTTACTTGTACAAAGGCTCAATTAGAGAGATTAGTTAAGAATGGAAGACATAAATATTCTGAATTTCTAGATGCTTAGTCGCTTAGATCAACCCTAGTTTTCTTGCTTTAGTTAGTTGCGTTCAAAGGAAAATATTGTAATGTACTTATCTATTTAAAAGAAATCTATTTAAAAGGACTATTGTGATTTGCAAAATATTTAATATATGGCGTGTACAAGTAGGTGAAAAGCTAACATGCACCTAATTAGTTAATAGTCAATGAAACAGAAATAGTGTCTTGGTGATGGGTTTCTATTTTTGTTGTTGTTGTCGACTTGCTGGGGATCTAGGGACTTTTTTCAAACTTAAGATTGACGTTTTTGCTCTACCCTTCACCATCAAGCTAATTTCCATTATCTAAGATACCTCTTTTATTTTTTTGTTCTTTTGCAGGTCATATCCTTTCATTTTTTATGACATCAAGTTCCTTTTATAAATTCCATCTTATGTAAATTTTGGACTATAAAGTTATTTTATGACAACAGAATATGCTTGCACGACTGCAGTACGCCACACACACTGCATGCAAGTATTAATAAATGCTATATACAAGCCAAACTTTATAACATATCTGATAGTGAGATAAAGTAAGATTAAACATGAGATTCTGCTCTTATTCATTTCAAGCATCAGACATAGTGCTTTCTCTCATTGTCTTTCTCAGGCTCTATATTTAAACTTTGCCTTGTAGTTTATTTCAAGACAGCGAGCTTCCTTTGCTAACCTGATGCAGGTTTCCCTTTAAGGGTTTGCTGTTGTACTGGATTTTAAGGTTCTGCTTCAAATCAGTCAACTATATTGACCTTATGCCTGATCATCTCACCTTGGTATGTGGGGTGAGTTTGCTAGTAATTGGTGTACTTGCTAATGGTACCACTTTAAACTAAGTATTTTTCACTTGTGTGAGTTTTGTTAACAACTCAACATTAGACAGGGAAGTTCATGATTTTCATATTTATGATAATTTTAATGCATTGTTGCTGTACTTTTAATCCAAACTTGTAACTGAACTTATGAATTTCTTTTATCAACAAAGTCAATGTATGTCAATGGTTGTGTTCTCTGTGTGCTTGGTTTACTTAACATTTCTTACATGTACTCGTCTGCCCAAGGCGTGAAGTAAAGCGCTTTGCTGATCTCACTGGTGATGAGACCTGTGATTTATGGCTCACAGCACAAAAAATTGGCAGCAAGTTGGAGCATTACCATAAAGCATCATCACTAACTCTTGCAATCCAAGTACGTATAGTAACATTACGATATCTTGTTGGCCTACTATGTACTCATCAATTCAGTTTTTGTTGGTTGATTATTTTAATTGGTTTACTTAACATTTCTTCATAGGGAATGTGCTGCAGGAAGCAGCATCTTCCATTTGTATAGGATTATGTGGGAATGTATACATGATTAACTATCCTTAATCAGCTTTCCTTTAAAATTAGAAATTAATGCATGCCACCCTTTTTGACAAGTCAATTTGACTATGCAAGTATATTATGAATTATCAGGATGGACCTCAAGCAGGACAGACCGTACCACATGTCCACATTCATATAATTCCTCGGAAGACTGGTGACTTTGAGAAGAACGATGAAATCTATGATGCGGTAAGCTTAGTATGTTTACTATAGATTCTAATTCCTCTCTCAATGTGCAAGTGTGTAGCTTGCTCACTTAACCCTTCCTCGTTTGTGGTACCAGATTGATGTGAAGGAGAAGGAATTAGCTGAAAAGCTGGACTTGGACAAGGAAAGGAAGGATAGAACCCTTGAAGAAATGAATCAGGAGGCAGAGGAATACAGAGCTCTGTTCAAGTAACTATTAAGCTTTGGTGCCCATATTTGCTTCATATTTCGCCCTGATTTCACTTTCTTGCTCGTTCGGAACAGAAACTGGGTATTATGCACTAACTATTGTTCATACAATATGATTGAAAATTTAATGCTAGGTCATGCAGTACTTGATGCTTTACTAATATTAGCATCTTTCTTCACTCTTATTGAAAATCAATTGCTGATGCTCTCTGAAAAAATTATATCATGACAAAAAGATCTGTTTATTCAAGCTTACTGTTCAATTTTTATAATTGTGGAGATTTGTGTTATGTACTTGCTCTTTGAGTCTTCCAATGGGAGTAACATTATTAGTCTAAACTCGCTACTTTCCCATTGGTGGCTTCATCTGCGACTCTCATTAGCGACTTTAGGTTTTAGTCTAAAATCCTAACGCGAGGGAAGCGTTTTTCGTCCAAGGCTTAGCATTCTCCAATCTAAGTCAATATGTATCTTACTATACCTTATTCCCATATTAATAATAATAATTATTTTTTTTTTTCCAAAAAATATACTCGTATATGTTATATAATGAATCAAAAATAGGTCAAAACCTTTTTTTTTTTCCTTTTTGGAAAGTAGGTCAAACCTATTAATTTCACAAGAACAGTGAAAATACGAGTAATTTTTTCTACAGTATTTTTTTTAATTGAAAATAAAAGCGACCATGAACAAACTCTAGGGTTTTACGACATGAACGCCTAAAACATCAGAGATAGTATTTGCTGGTAAAATTGAAACCAAATCAATATCAAACCAATGGCCAAAAACCACAATTAGGCTTAGCAATTTAATCATGCATGATCAATTAATTACGCAATAAGTTAGAATTAAACAGATTTCTGAAGCAAAACTATACTGCTATATTACGATTGGTGAAATATTGTAAACAAGAAATGTTATAAACCGAACTGCTGTAAACAATAAAAACAGAACAAAGTTACCGGGAATTAGACTGAGTCGCGGACTATGTCGCTCTCTTTAGAACATTCACGGTACTGCCCTTTAATTTGTGCAAGCAGCTCGTACAACAACCGGATGTTCCCCAGGATAAAACAGTCTGTCTAAGCAAGGAAAATACCAGTGGATTTGCACAGAACCAGTGGACAACTAACCACCAACAAATATAAAGAACACTGCTCGAATATTTTGTAAGAGAAAAAAGGGATTAGAAAAATTCTGTGATTTTTTGTTATTTAAAAACAGTGAACATAACATGATGTTTTATAGGCAAAACAATGGTATAACGGTAGCAAAAACCGTTCCAACACCAGCGTGATTAACGCCAAAAACGGTCAATTAAAACGTTAATTTACCCAGTCAAAACGGCCAAAGTTTAATTAATCTGGAAATAAACGTTAGAGAGATAACCAGTCAAAACCGTTTAGCAAAAATCAAGGCACTAATTACGTAATTAAGCCTTGTTCAAAAACTGAGCAAAAATTAAGTTTAATTAATAAACCCGACTCGACTCGACCCAGCCCAGCCCGGCTCGGTTCGGCGCGCGTGATAAGTGGGCTTGGTAGGTAAGTCCTCCCTCTCCACAAAATGTGGGTAGCCCAAGGGCCACACCCAAATACTCCACATTCTCCAATATAAGGGAGGACAAACTTCTATTTCCCACCAATGTGGGACTTTTTGTTTTCCACAAAATTTACACCAAAACACACTTGTTCCAACAAGAAATAATACTATTCCGAAATAAAAAAAAAAAAAACGTCAATAATAATAAATCCTACATTAATAATAACAACGTCCCTAAATAAGCATTATGACCTCCTTAATCATCATCTTGATCTTGATCTTCACAACGTTTTCGTCTCCAACTTTTGATCTCCAAATACCGTTGTTTGTTCCTCAAATTGGCCAGATTCTCACCAGTGATTTTCTTAGACGATTTGGAATTGTTTTTGATATCCAAAGACTTCAATGTATCGCTCAATTCTTGTACAGAATTCTTGGCGTCTTGAATCTCCATCATTCGCCGCAGTCTTTGCACAAACAATTGATAATATTTATTTTTTCGTATCGTCGGTTCTTCAGAAAGCTTGTTTTTCTTAGGATCACTCTCAATATTCTTCTCACAACTCTTGCATTTAACCATTTTTTTCGAATAAAGTCACCTAAATTACGAAGTAGGTTATTGAAATTGAATTAGATATTGAACTATATAGGTGTATATATATAGCTTTACTATCCTGATTCTCTAAGGAAATTACAAATTTTATTTGATTTCAAACTCCAACTTTTTATGTTGATAAATATGGAATATTTCCTAATAATATCTGATATCTTTATTTATTTCTTCCAAGCATTAATTCTATCTTATATCACAATTACGATTTACCAAGTATACAGAATTTTTTAATTAATTAATTTATTTATTTATTTACTACTAATATCACACGATAAAATTATCTTATATGCGGGTTTTTTTTTTTTTTTTTTTTTTTTTTTTTTTTTTTTTTTTTTTTTTAAACTGAAAAAACTAGTTTGCTATGGAGTATAGTATTTCAATTAGGTTAAACCTGTATGATGCATGATTTCATTGATTTGTATATAATCTATTTTTATGATTTGTAAACTTGAAAAAATACATAGGTATAAATAAGAATTATGCACCTTATACAAAAATACTTGTAATTTTAATTTTAGATTTTCGTCAGAATTATATATAACTAGTTTTGTGTCCCTGCTCGGATTGTTTATTGAATTTTAATATAAATTTTTCATCTGAGATAACTCGTGACCCAACTTTAATTGACAGGTCTACGAAGTATATATATTATTTTAACCGATTAGTATATGTAATAAATGGATTTTTTTACGCTTTGAACTAATTCTTTCGTTCCAAAAAATATTATGATAATAAAAATTTATATGATAATTTTTTAGAATTATAATCTAATAATTTTTTTTAATAAATTATAATTCAATTTGTACATCTAAAATATTGGTATTTTATCGAAAATAAAACACTTCTCTTAAAAATAAATAAATAAATAAATAAAACACTAAACTAATAATTTTATTCTAAAATTTTATCCAAATAAAATTTTAAACTAATTTTTTTATTTTAGAAAGTCTATTTAAATCTATCCAATGTGGCATGACACTTGGCGTTCGTGTCTTCGTGACCTGGCTAAAAGTTTAGCTTATTCCCTCCGTCTCCAAAACTTTGACTTTTTGGTTGATTACGCAGTTATTAAGAAATTAAATAAAAAGAATTAAAAACATATTGGAAAGATAAATTTACATGAGATTTGCTTTTTTTTTTTTTGTGCAAATTTACCTGAAGCTTGTAAAAACGTAGAGACATAAAGTATTAAAAATACATGAAAAAACATAAATTTTATATGGGAAAGCAAATTTTGCACAAATATTGTTGTAAATTGCTGGGTATTTTAATGCAAATTGGTCGATTATTTTGGGACTAAAATTAGGCAAAAGGGTCGAAGTTTTGGGGACAGAGTAGTGCCGAGTGCCGACTGCCTAGTGCTACTCCCTCTGTCCCCATAATTGACAACATTTGTTTTAGTAATGTAGACTACTCTGGTAGTTAGGCAACTACTTATATTTAAATGCATTGTAATAATAGTATGTATGTAGTATGAATCTTTAATACTTCTATAGTAAAACAATAATTTGTGTACAAGATTGGAGCATTATTGACAATTAACTTTGATAGTTAGATAGTAATGTTTCTTCTAGGAGGTTTAGCGTTTGAACCTCTTCATCATGAGGAGTCAACGTGACATAGACCTTTATAAAAACATATTTAACTATTTAAGTAATTGGAACCTTAGGTTATAACCTTAGAATAATCTGGTTCGAGTCTTTCGCCTTACTTTTAAATATAAAAATCAACCCATACCCACCTGATGCCCTGATGGGCTGATACACATTTTTTTCCAAAAAAAATAAAAATAAAAATAAAAATTGCACGTAACAAAATGAGACTATGAGAAGAGTGAAGGCCCACAAAGCTAGCTGTTGAATTCATGACCATATTTTTCTTGAGATTTTTTTCCCCAAAAACCCACAAAAAAACAAGAAAACAATGCAATTTATGTGGTATGGGTCCAAACACCAACACCACCAATTTACCATAACTTATTAGTTATTACAGTTCATATTTGACTACTACACACTTCATTTTTGAGTTTTGAACCAACTATTTAGAAGAACATATTGTATAACATTACAATAATTTAAGCAAAAGTTAACAAAAAAAAGTGAGATTAGAAGATGGGTTTGCAGTTAAATGGAGCTGCTAATTGGTGTTTGTATGGTAAAAATGGTAGCAAAATCATGAAGCAAGAAAGCAGAAGTATGATTATAAGGGCAGTTACATCTTTTGAGGATAATAATGTGACTGCTACTTCTGTAAAGATGAACCCAATTGATGAAGGAAAGATCAAATTAGGAGGGTCTGATTTGGAAATTACTAGGTTGGGTGTTGGTGCTTGGTCTTGGGGTGATACCAGTTATTGGAACAACTTTGAATGGGATGGTAATTATTTTTCTTCCCTTTCAATCTCTTTGCTTAATTGTTTATTGCTCGGGATTAATAGTCGCGTTAATAGTGTAATTTTAACTAGTATGGTGTACCTAGATATCTTTTCATCATGACTCTTTGATTATATTGATACCCTTTATGATTAGGAAACATGTATTATGAATTTTGAGGGACCCTTGCAACTTCCCTGTTGAATTTCTTTTTTAATTAATAATCCCCTTTTTCGGAATAAGTTGAGTTATAAATAAATAGTTATGTTAAATTTAGTCTCACCCCATCACTTGAATTAAGTAGTGGAATATTAGAAAACTCGAATTGTAAACCATTTCTAGTTTTGTAAATGTGATAGCTTTTTTCGGACATCCTAGAAGAACATACTGCATGTAACGATTAATTACTGATGGAATGAGGGGTAATCATACAATCATGGATAACTTTTAATTTGTGGACATTGGCTAGCTTAATGTAGTTGTGAAAATACAGGAAAAAGAATACTGAGTAACTGTACCTGAATGTTTTTCTTACATTGAAAAACCAACAGAATTGATATTGTTATGATATGTCAGACAGGAAGTTGAAAGCAGCAAAGGCAGCATTTGACACTAGTCTTGATAATGGTATAACTTTCATTGACACTGCAGAGGTGTATGGCTCCAGGGTGAGATTCAATTTCATTATTCGACTATGTTTCGTTGTTCTAATTAACATCATTATGTTTCTTGGCATCCAAATCCAGTTACTGAGATTCACTCTCCTTACCTGCAGTTTTCTCTGGGTGCAATCAATTCCGAGACTCTCCTTGGAAGGTAATACATTAACTTTCATTTACCACATGCTATTTCGTCTCTACAATGTTACAAAAGGCGCCTGTTTGCATTTAGCTCATCTGAACTCTGAAGTCTGAAATGTAGAGCTGTTGATTCTGGTCTGTTATCTTGATATTTCATGAAAGTAAATTCTTTGATAGATTTATTAAGGAGCGGAAAGAGAAGGATCCGAAGATGGATGTAGCAGTTGCAACTAAGTTTGCTGCATTGCCATGGAGATTAGGACGCGAAAGTGTTGTCAAAGCCTTAAAGGATTCTCTCAGTCGCCTAGAACTCTCGTCTGTGGAGCTGTATCAACTACACTGGTAAGCATGATCTTACAGAAAATGGCTAATAACTATGTTATTCTCTTTGTGAAGTTAATTACTGTCTTGTGCTGATTCAGGCCTGGAATATGGGGAAATGAAGGTTGCTCATTAATAATAATATCTCCGTCTAGTTCAATTCGATTTCTGAGCTGAAATTTTTACTCTCCACATCTGGAGTTTAAGCAGTCTTACTTAATTGTGAGGATTACTTTCCAGGGTACATCGACGGCCTTGGTGATGCTGTTGAGAAAGGACTCGTGAAGGCTGTTGGCGTTTCCAATTATAGCGGTATGTCTACAAGTATCAGATGACATATGCTTTTATCTTAAGTTAAAAAACTAGTGTAAAATCCATCATGTAATCAATTCTTTCAACAAGATAACTTGGTCATTTTAATTTAGTGTATGCATCCCTTATCTTGGTTAAGGTAGCTCTTGGAACGTTGGATTTTCGCTTTCATGATTATTTGCATAATCTATTGCAGAAAAGCGGCTACGTGATGCTTATCAGCAGCTAAAAAAGAGAGGCATTCCGTTGGCTTCAAACCAAGTCAACTACAGCCTTATCTACAGGAACCCAGAGGAGAACGGTGTCAAGGCTACCTGTGACGAGCTTGGGATCACTTTGATTGCTTATTCACCAATTGGTCAAGGTTTGTGTTTTTGGTAGCATGTAGTTATGCTTGTTACATAATCCTGAATATCATATATTCATATGGATTTTTCCTCATATCCGAGCTTCCTAAACTGGATATCCAAAATAAATCTATTGATAAACCATCATCAATAGAAAGATGTTATACAAAACGATTCATATGTGTAGGTTCCTTGACTGGAAAGTACTCACCAGAAAATCCACCTTCTGGTCCACGAGGCCGCATATATACTCGAGAATACCTGACCCAGGTAACTATTGGTTCCTGTCAAACTTTGAAAGCTTGAATGCAATATTGGATTATAAGATTGCTACTGAAATTTGTGTTTATGCAATGCAGCTGCAACCTCTGGTTAACAAAATAAAAGAGATAGGACAGAACTACGACAAAACTCCTACCCAGGTAAATTACTTAATACTCAATTAGTTTCTTCTCCAATCATTATTGTTAAATCCTAGAAAAATCTTCAAGTACTATATATGCAGTATACAGCTTCATCAAGCATTTTACTTGAGCTCGGGCAACTTGAGTTAAGACACATATGTGCCCAAGTGTTAAGCTCGACTATTGCAATAAACTTCCTAATGCTTTGTCCAAATTGAAGTGTCAAGTAATAGGACCCATGAACATGTTTGAGTTTCAAAAACCCGACACTGGGTAATTGAGGTGAAATGAATGAAAATTTCTAATCGCACAGTAAAGCAGTGCAACTGTGTTGAGTCAACAAACTGCCAATATTGTGGCGTCCTTTTTTTAACAAGATTATCACAACCCTCATGCAGGTAGTTCTCAACTGGTTAATAGCACAGGAGAATGTAGTTCCGATACCAGGAGCTAAAAATGGGGAACAAGCAGCAGAATTTGCGGGTGCACTCGGGTGGCGGCTTAGGGGCGAGGAGATAGAGGAGCTACGTTCTTTAGCAAAAGAACTAAAGCCTATTGTTGGTTTCCCAGTTGAGAAGTTGTAAAAAACCTAGTGGTTTCATCATTTATTTGGTTTTGCATTCGACCTACCGGTATATTTACAAAGTCCCGTCAATTTATTGCTATCATCTAAGCTACAATACTATACATATATATACTTCCTATATTATTGTAAATAAATTTAAATCATGTCGAATTACAGTTTTGTTGTTACATATTTCTTATGCCTTACCATATTTGACGCACTTTTCATGAGTTGATTTTCTTCTATGCAATCCAAAAATTCTATACATGACTATTGACTAACTATGTCCAAACACACACACACAAAAAAAAAAAAAAAAAAAAAAAACGGTTTACATGAGCATTACTAAATTGACTGATACAGATAAGCATGTAACTAACACAAAATCAAGCTATTGTAAATAGTGCCGCAAAAGGACTAGCATTTTTCTTTAAGAGCTTCACTGTACCGGGAGTCTCTTTCAACATGCATTCAGGTCTCATCTACGATTAGGTATTGTCTGAACGAATATAAACCTGGATTCATAGCAACAAATTTGCCTGTTACTTCACAACAAAGTAAATACCAGTTTTCTTTGATGATGATATGTTAAAATTGAAAAATAGAGAACCATTTCTACAAGAAAATAACTGAACCTGACTATCCTCTCAAAGTAGTCATCAATGTCGTCATAAAGTCTTTAACTAAAAGAGGGGAAGAGGCTGATAACATACCATTGTATTCTGTATCATTACAGAGAGAGTCAGAGATGACTGCCGGGCCACAAAAGAGTGATATAAGATCAACTACAATTTCGAGATATAACCTGCACGTTTTAGAAATTAATATGTTTGTCAGGAACACTAATATCATATGATAATGAATGCAATGACGGCAAAGATGAAGGAAAACACCCAATAAAATCAGATAATATCAATGCAATAAAACCACATCAACTGCGAGTGGCACATTAGGAGATCAATGGAGGGAAGAAACACATTTTCGGAGATAATAATTGTCAACCAACACTTTCCGACATGCAAGAAAAACTACAACAAGTTGACTTGCTTTGTCCTCTTTTTTAATTGTTTTTTGTCCTTCTCACCCTCTCTGGATTATTAATCTAATCCACATTCAATTCTTGAGCTGCAATAATAATACTCCGTACCAAGAAAACAACACATAATTAAATCTCCCCTCCCCCCCACCTCTTCATCCTTACCCCAGCTGGCCACCAGCACCTCTTCATTTCCTGCCACCCTTCACCCAGCCACAAACACCATTCAGCTTCCATTGTGTTACTGAGATAAAAGAGCAGCAACAGATAGTGAGGCAATAAATGTCACATATAGATGATGCCAACTTATATTAGACTCTCTAAGTCTCTCTGTCCAGCCTTCTAAAATCCAGTAAAGTTATAGCTGGCAGCTTGAAACATGCCACAAAATAGGAATACTGTGCGCAGTCTGCAGGTCCAGGATAGCAACAAACAATTGAGCAACCTAAGGTTAAGGGTACATCCAAAAGTTGACAAAAGAAGAGTCGAGTAACAATGACAAATCGGTTATTGAAGGTAAAAGAAGGTGCTGAGGTTTAGTTGAGAAACGGGCAATATAGAAATGATGGATGCAAAATTGTTGAGTACTTTTCAGTTTTCACGAATTGATTCTTATACATGACTTAGAAGATATTCTTGTGATATATGTGTTGCTCAAGTTGAACATACAGAAGCCAAGAGGAAGCAATCAAAGCCAATATCCGTTGTGATCTTTGCAAATAATGGCAGCTTTAAAAAAATCAAGAGAGGATTGTCAAGAAATGGGTGTAATCCATGGCAGGACATATAAGCAAGGGAGGTAAGGTTGAGGAGGTGGGTTCCGGCCCTCCGGGGGGAATTATGAAATCAGAAGAAGACATAAATGAGAGAGTGGGAAGGACGTGAGATATCCCCCACGTTCTTTTATGTTCTACTCTCTTTCCATTTCAATCCATTCTTTTATGTTCTACTCTCTTTTTATTTTAATTCATTCTTTTTTGTTCTACTCACTTTGCTTTATCTATTTTAGGCATACTTCCTTTACAATCTTACCCTTCTTACCCCACAATAATTACACCTTTCTACACACTTTCTCTTGCTTAATTTATCTTTTTCTTACACCCACCCACTTTTTTACATTATTAATCTCACTTTATTTACCTTTTTCTCAAACCCACCCATTTTTTTACATTATTTCTCTTACTTTATTTACCTTTTTCTTACACCCACACACTTTTTAACATTATTTCTCTTACTTAATTGTTGTACACTTTAGACCCACTAACCTTTTTCAACATTGTCTTAAATTGCGTACATTGAGTAGAACATAAAAGAATGGAGCTATTACTTCATTCTATCGGATAATGGAGTGAAATGCAAGTGTAACTCGCAAGAAGGTTGACTTCTTTGCCTAAAGTATGTTAAGCTGCAAGTGAAAAACTTTTAGTCTTAATCCACAAAAGATGAATGGTACTTCCTCACATATTGGATATCAAAATTGGTGCTTAACAAAAAAGAACTTATTCTAAGAATAGGAAGGTACAGTAGTAATACTACACGAAAAATTCCAACTTTAATTCATGTATGCCATATAAGTTTGATACCTTTTAGATTTTCATATAGGCTAGAATGCAAACTTAAAGAGAAATAAAACAATGAAGCAGACAGATAGAAGAAGGCAGAAGCAACAAACTTGCCTCTAGTACCAAGGGTTTTGCATGCTCCTCCCATTCAGTACCCCAAGCTACAGAAGATCTTGTTTCCAGGGCTCCATTTCTCAGCGATGTGAGTATAGTACACTCATTAGGGAAACTCTTGAAAAGCATCTAAAAAAATAAATAATAAATTTTAAATCAGTAGTGAGCAAGGCATGTAGTCATAAGCAATATACCAAGATGGTAGACAGTACAACCACAAATTACAGATAAACAACAACTACAAGGTATAAAACCTGATTGTATGTCCAGGATGGTGTCATATGTATAGAGAAGACTGGGCATAATTGTTTGGTTATACATTGTGATTTCCGTATGTTTTGCACTATTTTACTTTGCAAATATTATTTATGCATTAATTTTGCAAGATGTGCTTAGAGGCAAAGGTATGTGAATATGTGAAATGATTTATTTATTACTCATTTACGATTATTGAAATAGAATGAAGAATTTAAGTTTTATAAGACGAGGTTAAGGTTTTGGGGTGCCTTATGCACTCAAGGTGTTTATACACCGAGGTAGTTAAAGCCTAAAGGAATAAATAATAAATGTTGTTTGTCACTAATAAATCAAGAATTGAAATTGAAAACTTGTTTTACTTTATTAAATTGATTGTATTGTTTGCATATGAGTCATCACTAAGTCTAAACTAGTAAATCACGTAAAGTGCAAGATGGATAAGCAATAAAACTCTGGTGCACATCTAGAGTAATGACAATCAGGGGTTGGAGTACACGGGGTATTAGCCGTGCACTTTTCTAGAAGTCGTCTGATCTACGAGTCTCTTATTTTAAATACTTTCCAAAACTAGGAGTTAGATGAGATCTTTTACTAGTTACGGTCACGGAGTCGCGCCCGTGGTCGTTGGATGTTTTATTGATGTTTCCGAAAGGAGGCATGGGGTTTTTCTTTTATTGATGTTCCAAATGGAGCATGGGATGAACAACCTTGTCTATTGTTAAATCCAATGAATAAAATGAAATGAGTTAACTACTATTAACTAGTGAAGGCTCATTAATACTAATAGTTGAGTCATGTGTTGAGTCTATAATTTAATGATGCATGATGATTGATAATTAGTAGCATGCTAGGGATTTTTTATTTTATTTCGCAGCTTGTATGTACTCAATTTTGCTGATTGCGTGCTTTTGTGTGTGTCTTTCTTTGGTCATGGCCTTCGCCTTTCAATGACCATGTGACGATCCAATTTTTAAACTTGTAATATTGGGGAGCAAATTAATCACGGGTTCTTACACATGCAGCCTTCGCATTGGGATTTTGAGTAGAGAGTTGGTTATTGTTCGCAATTTATTTCTTTTCATAAGATTGAATTTATTTAAACTCTGGTTCTATTTATTTACTACTTTTGCTGGGTTTTAAATAGAGTCTTAAAGGTTCCAACTTGTAAGACTTAATTTTATTTGTTGGTTTGGAAACTTATTTATATAACTGATTTAGTTTTTCCGTTGCTAATTTCTGATATAGCCTTAGCGTTTGAACACGTGGCAGTAATTCTCTTGGATATTGTTCAGGTACTCACAAGTTTAAAGAGAGAAGGTGTAACACTCATACTCCCTATGCCCCTTTTTGTTGCAGAAACCTAAAAGTCACTAAATTCCCATCACAGTCTTTCCTTGGCTGGTTTCTCCTACACCTATTGCAGTGGTAGCTTCTCTCCCATTGTTAGCATTAGAAGAATTGCTAACATTTTGGTTACCCTATCGAACGAGTTCTCATTCCTAGGCCTCTTAAAGTTACTCTGGTTTTCAGGTTTCCCAAAGTCCTTCATTTTCTCTCCAGGCACTCTCTTATATACTTTGTCAAAAGTCTTAAAGACTTTCCAGCTAGGTCTTTTGGTAACCGGTCAGTCAATCCCTATCCAAACCTCTAAGCCTTCAGTTCTTGGTATAACCTCAGGAGCAAACCTAGCAAGGGTCATGAACTTGTTATAGTACTCTAGATTGACATCTGGCCCATTTCTAGATTTATAAACTCTCGAGCCTTCTGCTTCTTTAGAAATGGAGGGTAAAACTTGTCCCTCAAAGCGGTCTTAAACACTTCCCACACGAAATTGGGTTTGGCTCTCACTATCTCAGAATTATCCCTCCACCATATGTCGGCCTCATCTTTGAGATACGTAGCCGCCTGATCCACTTTTATACCCTCGGGGCAGTTCAATGCCACGAATAATTTATCGAACTCTGGGATCCAGTTTTCTAAGAAGGTGGGATCAGCACCTCCCTGGGGGCCTCACTTGAGCTAGCTTTTTAAACATCTCCGCTTGGGATCGAGTTGATCCCCTTGGTTCTGGTTCAGGTTTTCGGCCAACATGCGGATGGCTTCGGATGGCTTCAGCTAGGGCGGCGGCGTTTTCCATTGTGGTTCTACGCCTGAAAATATATAGACACCATTCTATAGTTCAAATACCATTCACATATATTCATTGAATCACAATAGTACATGTTATCACATAGATTGGTTCAAAAGGGTACCTTTGTTTCTTTACCCCCTTCTCCCAAATAAAATCATATAAATATAAACACAATTCACACGCAGGATTAAATAAAGTTAAGAAAATAATTCCCATTCCGCGCCACTCTTACTAACTTAATCATAAACAAAGGAAGTATCCCAAAATCGTACGTTTCACAAAATTTAGCTTTCTTTGAATCACGAATATTAGTAAAATGAAACTTCTAAAATAAAAATAATAACTCTTACTATAACTTTAATGAAAGTATGAATCCCAAATAATAATAACTCTGTAGCTCTAGTTACTTATTAAAATCTAATAATCTAAATCAAAACTAGAATGAGGTTCTAATAACCATTATTAAATGACAAATGTCTTATTCATACTAACTTCACCCTAATAAGTATAATCCTCAAGGAATTACATTACAGTTCTTATCTTTTTTCTCATTATAATTATTAGCATCAAAATCAGGATCATTTTTATCATCCGAGTCCTCAATTATTATCGCCTTGTAAAGCGGATTCGGGTTCCTAGTGGCTCTCCTCCCAGCATTTGGATCTTCAAGTGGTGGTTGCATCCATTCAAGATCATCTTCATATGGAAAATCAATAAGAGTATACTCGTGAAAAATTCTGCTGTAAGTTTTTATCTTATGCTTTTTATTCTTTACTGTCTTAAACTCATATAAGCTCTGGTAATCTTCCTCATCAGGTTGAGGTATTGCTAGTGTAAGAATCCTTTCCATAGTTTCCAGTATATCTTTACTTCGAGTATCATCTTCGATTATTAGACATGACTACTGGGTCACTCATAGTATCATTCTCGCTCTCAGACATGATTACTGCTGGATCGCTCATCTCCTTTCTACGTTAACCCAACGCAACGAACATTCAAAAAGCATAACACAAGCACATCACAAAAACAAATCAATTAGAACACCAATTGCAACATGTTAAATAATAATCAAAATAAACACTTTATGTGATAATTAAATAGAATGAAATATGCATGCTAGCTCAAGTGATAATTAAATTCAAAGGCTAAAAATGATCATCACTTGAGCAAACGCCGCCGCCCTAGCTGAAGCCATCCGCATGTTGGCCGAAAACCTGAACCTGAACCTGAACCGAGGGGATCAACTCGATCCCCAAGCGGAGATGTTTAAAAAGCTAGCTCAAGTGAGGCCCCCAGTGTTCAAGGGAGGAGCTGATCCCACCTTCTTAGAAAACTGGATCCCAGAGTTCGATAAATTATTCGTGGCATTGAACTGCCCCGAGGGTATAAAAGTGGATCAGGCGGCTATGTATCTCAAAGATGAGGCCGACATATGGTGGAGGGATAATTCTGAGATAGTGAGAGCCAAACCCAATTTCGGGTGGGAAGTGTTTAAGACCGCTTTGAGGGACAAGTTTTACCCTCCATTTCTAAAGAAGCAGAAGGCTCGAGAGTTTATAAATCTAGAAATGGGCCAGATGTCAATCTCAGAGTACTATAACAAGTTCATGACCCTTGCTAGGTTTGCTCTTGAGGTTGTACCAAGAACTGAAGGCTTAGAGGTTTGAACAGGGAAAGTCTTTAAGACTTTTGACAAAGTATATGAGAGAGTTGCTCACATGTACCATCTGAATTCTAAGAGTGTACTTAAGAGTGCCAAGGCTGGAGAGAAAATGAAGGACTTTGGAAACCTGAAAACTAGAGTAACTTTAAGAGGCCTAGGAATGGGAACTCGTTCGATTGGGTAGCCAAAATGTTAGCAATTCTTCTAATGCTAACAATGGGAGAGAAGCTACCACTGCAATAGGTGTAGGAGAAACCAGCCTGGGAAAGACTGTGATTGGGAATTTAGTGACTTGTAGGTTCTGCAACAAAAAGGGGCATAGGGAGTATGAGTGTTACACCAAACGAAAACACCAGGGAAATGGTGGGAATACCCAACAGAGGCCTAACAATTTCAACAACTAGGGGAATAAAGGCAATGGTCAGAATAGGAAGTTTGTGAATGGTAGCAACAATGGCAACAACACAGACAACAATAACAATAATTACCAAGGAAGAAGCAACACTTCCGGGCGCTTGCTGTGATGAGCAAGGGAGAAGCAGAGAGGTCCTCAAATGTAGTCACTGGTACTTTTTCTATTTATTCTGTCAACACTTTTTTTGAATCTGGAGCAACTTACTTTTTCATTTCTACTTCTGTTGTGAGTAAGTTAAACTTAACTGAGGCCAGTCATATTGATGTGTCAGTCCTACGGGTAAACTTTTTCAATGTAATAAATTATTCAAAGGCTTACCTTTGAAAATAGGAAAAGTTGCCTTTCCATCAAACCTTATTAAGTTTAATCTAGGGGAATTAGATGTAATTCTGGGGATGGATTGGCTAAGTTTATACAAGGCCAAGATAAACTGTGAGATACAGAGAGTGCACCTGAGTGATCCTTTGGGTAAGTCAGTGTCCTATAAACGTTTAAGGAAACCTAAGGGTTTTGGGATTATTTCTGCTTTAAAGGTTAAGAAGTTAGTGAATAAGGGGTGTCCGTTGTACTTTTGTTGTGTTCAAGATTTGAGTATGAGTGAGAGTAGGCGAATAGATGTACCCATTGTGAATGAGTTTTTAGATGTTTTTCCACAAGAGATTTTGGGAATGCCGCCTAAGAGGGAAGTTGAGTTTACCATTAACTTAGTTCCAGGAGCAGCACCTATCTCAAAAGCACCTTATTGAATGGCACCAGCTGAGATGAGCAAGCGAGCTGAAGGCTCAATTGCAGGAGTTATTGGACAAGGGGTTCATTAGGCCTAGTGCATCACCTTGGGGAGCACCAGTCTTATTTGTGAATAAGAAAGATGAGAGTTTAAGGCTATGCATTGATTACAAAAGGTTGAATAATGTGACTGTGAAGAATAAGTACCTTTACCTAGGATAGATGACTTGTTTAACCATTTGAAAGGGGCAAGTGTGTTTTCAAAGATCGATTAGAGGTTAGGGTACCATCAGTTGAAAGTTGCAGATAAAGACATTCCAAAGACAGCCTTTAGAACTCGTTATGGGCATTAAGAGTTTACAGTTATGCCTTTTGGGTTAACCAATGCACCTCCATGAATCGAGTGTTTCATGAATACTTAGATAAGTTCGTGGTTGTGTTCATTGATGACATATTGGTGTATTCGAAGAATTAGAGGAAAAAATGCTCGTCATTTGAGGATTATACAGGAAACTCTGAGGAATAAGTTTTCCAAGTGTGGGTTGGAGAAGGTTGCATTTCTGGGGCATTACATTTCGAAGGAGGGTGTGTCTGTGGATCCTACGAAAATTAAGGCGGTTAGTGAGTGGCCTACACCTAAGAATGTGACTGATGTTTGTAGTTTCTTGGGATTTGCGGGATAATATAGGTTTGTTAAAGAGTTTTCAAGGATAGCTAGACCCATGACTACCCTTATGAAGAAGCAGACTAAGTTTGAGTGGAATGAAAGTTGTGAACTAGCTTTTCAAACCCTCAAAGAGCAATTAACTACTGCACTAGTGCTAGTATTACCCAATGGAGAGATGAATTTGAGGTGTATAGTGATGCCTCGAAGCATGATTTGGGATGTGTCTTGCAACTGAATGGAAGGGTGATCGCGTATGCATCGAGACAATTGAAGTCACATGAGGTCAACTACCCCACGCACGACTTGGAGGAAGCAGTTGTTGTGTTCGCATTGAAGATTTGGAGGCACTACCTTTACGATATCTCTTGTAAGATCTTCACGGACCATAAGAGTCTAAAGTATATCTTCACCCAAGATCACTTGAATATGCGGCAACTTAGATGGCTAGAGTTCCTCACAGACTACCATGTCCACATTTAGTACCACGAGGGCAAGGTTGTTCCAGATGCCCTTGGTAGAAAGTCGAGTCATAATGTCAATGCTTTGATTGTGGCCAATGACTTGTGTGAAGATATGAGGAGATTGAACCTTGAGGTTATTAACCAAGGAGAGTTACAGGGATTACTGAGTGCCTTGACCATCCAACCATCCATATTTGAGGAGATTAAAGAGAAGCAATTGGAAGATGAGTCGTTTTTGATGATTAGGGATCGTGTGACTAGTGGTGCGGAGACTGAATTCAAGATTCATGAGGATGGGAGTTTGAGATACAAGGAGAGATGGTGTAAACCATAGAAGTGTGAGGATATAAAAAGGAAAATCATGGAGGAGTGCCATAACACACCATATTCAGTTGTTCACCCTGGGGATATAAGTTGTATAAGGACTTAAAGGAGTTGTATTGGTGGCCGAATATGAAGAGAGAAGTTGCTGAGTTTGTATCAAAGTGTCTGACGTGCCAGAAGGTGAAGATAGATCACAAGTAGGGATGTCAGTGGGGCGGGGATGGGTCTCGATTTGGCGGGTGGTGGGGCGGGGATGGGGATAAAAACCATACCCGCCATGGGTGATGCGGCGGGGGTGGATTTTAAACTGTACCCGCCCAATCCCCGCCCCTCTAATGAGTGGCATTTATGCCACGATTAAGGTTCATTTTGATGGTCATTTTCCCACATTTGCGGCTTGTTTGCATCCTTTTCTTTGCACTTAGTTCCCTTTCCCTTTATGCATCTTCTTTCCTAGATTTTGCCCTTTTTCCTACTCTTTACTTTGATTTCCATGCTTATGCTTTGTAGGAACCATAGGGGTTTTCAAGAGGAGGAAGCTAAGCTCAAGGATAGCTGAAGGAAGCATGATACAGGAGAGGTTCGGCCAAGGTGTGGCCGAACCAGGGTGTGGCCGAACTGCTCAGTGGTCCGGCCGAACAGCTTTGGTAGTTTCAAGTGGCATTTTGGCGAATTTGCAGGAGTGGTCGAACCTCAGAAGTTCGACCAGACCAGGATCAGGGAGGTTCGACCGAACCTACCCATGGTTCGGGCGAACCTACCC